GAACAAAAAGATATTGTACTGTTTAACATAGACCGAGTAGCATTACATATATGATATAATACATGACATCAAATTATGCTATTGTATATAATATAATTCGATATTTGAATCCTTTTTATTGAATAATGAACGGATAAAATTCATTGGAATTACTATGATTAGTGCTGGTTCTATCATGGGTGGTCATATGTCATTATTAATTTATAGAGCATGGTCTTGCAATATCTTTTTATCATGTTAATGCAAAAAGTATTTGTTTCTTTTTTAATTATTGATATTAACTTCATTGAGACTTTGATGTCAGGCGAGAGACCTGCTGACATATGAATGTCTTTGTGTTCTGCTCTGGCATCATTGCAGTGCATATATCAATATTCTTGCCTTTTATTCTTTGACGTAGTTCTAACACAAATGCACATATTAACAAGCACGCAGAAATGAATTTCTTACAATATTTTTTTATCAAGCTGGCACGTTTTATTAAGTGACATATGTAGAGTAAAATCGAGAAAGAATGAGTTTTGCTCAATTTTTTATATTACTTGGTTCACATTAATTCAACTATATTTATGTTAAATAAACTGATAATATTATGAAACTATTTCAAGACGGTAGACTAAAACAGATTTGTCTAAAAAAGGAAATATTCAAAAAATGCAATTCATTACTTGTAATATTCATTTTATTTTATACGATAATTTAAAACAGATACATGGTTTTGTACATATGACTTAGAATAAAATTACTAGTAATGAAGAGCTAATTCCTTGATATATGTATACATAATTTGAATAATTACGAAAGGAATACATTCTTGTTTTTTTCTTCATTTTACTAATTATATCATTAAATGAAAAACATTTCTTTTCAATGATCAGTTTTCATAGTGTATTGCGCATGAGAATCAATGTCTTGAATACTTGAGCGAAATCATAATAGTTTAGAAATATCATTAATAACGTTTTGACTTATCGGAATAATCGCCAATGATAAATTGTGTTTGGTTTTTATAGGTAAATTTTCGTTGAATGATAACCGATGAAAGAACTTCAATAAATATTATACTTAGCTGACATTAATACAACATAATAAGATGGAAATATCAAAACATTTTCTCCAGAATTTTTGGTCAGGACGTGATGAAAAAGAGATATTTTTTCTATTAATTGAGGTCTTATGATACAAAAAATAGTATTTTATTTGAAAAAGAACCAAAATCTCACCTTGTTTAAATTAAGTATTATTTAGATATTATCAAAATACTTTGTAAAATATTTAAGAAATACCTAACAGTTTTTTTCTTCCAAATAAAACTAAGTGCGCTAATTATGAAAATTTTCATTTACGAAAAACACATATGAGCATATCCATCTGAAACATACCACGTTTACATCGAAGTTC